GGCCTGAAACGGGGCCGACGGGGCCTGAAACGGGGCTAGCGCGGGTCTAAACGGGGCTAGCGCGGGGCCTGAACGGGGCCTTAAAGGGGGCCGACGGGGCCTGAACGGGGCTAGCGCGGGGCCGTCAAGAGGGGCCTCTAGGGGCGTGACACGCCGAGGCGCCCTAGGGCACGGGTAGGTAGGTAGGTAGGTAGTTACGTAGTGGTGGGCCCTTAGAAAATTTCGGTCCTAGGAAGGACCTGCTCTATACCATGTTGGAATCACTGAACAGGAATGAATGAACTAGCAATGAAAAGAGTACAAGTACCTAACCCTAGAATTGTGTACCCCCTATAGGCTAACCCACTGTAGCCTAAACTAACACAACATATATAATGTTTGACACCGAGGTAATTCCGTCGTGGCCCTCCTGCAGTAGCAGCTCCCTCAGTAGTGAGTACGCGGGTACCCAGATGCGGTTGGTGCCTGTTTTTACGTAATAAACTCCTTTAGCTTCTGCCAGTTGCTGTGAATTTCCGGTCGTGAAAAATGGGTCGGTGCAGTATCCGTGGGTGAATAGGCCTGTTAAAAGCGGGTTGGTTTGGGCGAGTAGGATGGCATGGAGTTGGGCGGTAGGGCGGGTGAGTGCGTCGGCGATGTTGGATGCACCTTTCTTGTACGTAACCGTGTAGTGGAAGTTGGACTCGAGGTAGTCCAACCAGCGAATCTGTCGCGGATTGAGATTTGGTTGGGCGCGTAGGTACTGTAGTGATCGGTGGTCTGTCCGTACTGTCACGTCGGCGCCAGTCAGGTAACACCGCCAAACCTTGAACGCGTGCACGATCGCCAACATTTCGCGGTCGTGTATCGGGTAGTTGCGTTCGGGCGGGTGCAGCTTGCGGGACTCGTACGCAATTGGCTGGAGGCCGTTCCCGAAATCCTGCAACAGTACTGCTCCCACAGCGATGTCACTTGCGTCAGTGACGAGCTCGAACGGACGGTGTGGATCTGCGATGTGAAGCACGGGCGGTGAGCACAAAATGTTTTTGAGGGCCGAGAAGGCAGCTTGCTCTTTCTCCCCCCACGTGTACTCAACCCCCTTCCTCAGCAGGTCTGTCAGCGGGGCAGTCAGCTTCGCCATGTCGGGGACGAACCGGCGCACGTAGTTGACGAACCCCAAAAAACTCTGCAACTCGGTCAAGTTGGTCGGCGCGTGCCATGCTTGAACCGTCGCAATTTTCTTCGGGTCTATTTCCACTCCTGCAGCTGAAATAACGTGTCCCAAAAACTCCAGGCGGTCCTGTAAAAACTCACACTTAGACGCTTTTGTCAGTAGGCGGTTCTCACTCAGTATTTTAAAAACTGCTTCGATGTCCTGTAAGTGTTGTGCTCTGTCAGGGCTGTAAATCAGTATGTCGTCCAGGTATACTATGACGCACTTATCTAAGAGCGGGCGGAAAGCTTCGTTCATGGTCATTTGAAAAGTGGCGGCGGCGTTGGTCAGTCCGAAGGGCATGATGGTGTATTCGAAGGATCCGTAGCGTGTGCGAAATGCGGTCTTAGGGCAGTCGGGCGGATTGACGCGAATCTGGTGGTAACCCCCTCGGAGGTCGATTTTCGAGAAAACCCGGGCTATGCGCAGTTGGTCGATCAGTTCGTCGGCTCGCGGGATGGGGTAACGGGATTTGATGGTAACCCTGTTTAGTGCTCTGTAATCTATACACATGCGAAATCCCCCGTCTTTTTTCGATGTGAACAGTATCTGTGCTGCGAAAGGCGACGAACTAGGGCGAATGAATTCCTTCTCGAGCAGGTAATCGAGCTGCTTCCTCAGTTTGTCCAGTTCGGGCTGGGTCAGTCGGAACTGTCGCTGTACTGTTGGCTGTGCCCCCGGTTCTAACTCTATCCTGTGGTCGTGCGGTCGCTGAGGTGGCAGTCCCGTCGGTAAATCGTCCGAGAAAATGTCGCTGTACTGCTTCAACAGTGCTGCCAGATCACTCGGTACGTCGGCCAGCAGTTTCTGTAAATCCCCTCCTTTGTCTGCTGCCTCGGCTTCCCGAATGTCGACCGCGTACACGTCAGCTCCTGCCGCTATGGCGCGTTTCATCGTGATCGCGTTGACACGCACCGACGAAGACTCAGGCGAGCCCCAGCGAGGTAAGGCGATGTTGTTACCGTTCACTCGCACGGTGCAGTCACCCGTCGTCCAGTCGATTCGCAGATTGTGTCGTCGCAGCCAATCACGCCCGAGTAAAATATCGGTTCCGTCGAGGGTCGTTGCGAGCATTTCCTGGCTAAACGTGAAGTTACCCCCACATCGAATCCGAACCCGGTCTACGCGTTCCCGTATCGCCAGCGGCGTGCCGTCTACCAGTCTTGCGTCGATCTCAGGTAAACATCTGTCCAGTGGCAGTCGCAGTTTTCGTGCTGTGGCAGTGTTGATGAGGCTGTGGCTGGCTCCCCCGTCTACGAAGATTTTTACTAAGTCCGTCCCAATTTTCCCACTAAGCAGTATGGGGCTGTCTACCGTAGTCCCCTCCTTATTCGGCCAGGTGTGGTCGATTGCGTGAACCGGCACAATCACTCGGTGAGGGTCGGTTGGGTCGGGCGAGCGGCGTGACCTGTCAGTAGAGGGCCCGTCTGCTACTGACTCCCAGCGTTTCCCTGCTGCTTGGTCTGTTTCTGCTGCTCAGCTTCCCCCTTTCCCTTAGCGTTTTTCGGGCATTCGCTCTTGCGATGTCCCGGCTGATTGCACGCAAAGCAGCGCCCTTTGAATGGTGCGGCAGCGGCATTTGCAGCGACGGCACGTATCGTGGCGCCCTCGTTCGTCCCACGAGGCCGATGTCCCCAATGGCTGCTTCCGTAGGACCCCGGTCTCGGTCGGCGGAAGAAATCAAGTTTCTCAGCCATAGCGAGAATTTCTTGAAAGTCAGTGACGCCGCGAAGCTGGATTTCCTGAGCGATGTCCTGCTTCAGGCCGCCGATGTAGCGGTCGATGCGCTCGCTCTCGTGCATATAACCCACCTGCTCGCATAGCGCCAGAAATCCGTTCGTGTAGTCTTAGACGGAACCGAGTTGGCGCCAAGTGCGGAGCTTCTGTCGCGCCGCGATCGAAGCCGCGATTGGCTCGAAACGAGCGCGCAGACCTGCGCACCACGCGTCCCACGTGCGATACTGGGGCACCTCCACGAAATACGACGGCGCCCAGGGTCCGGTTTGTCCTTCCCGTGTCGGTAGAGTCGCGTAGTCTAACGGCTTCGTGACGATGACGCGCCACCAATCCATGGCGGGTCCTCGCAGCAACGACACGGCGTAGCGGATTTTCGCCGTATCCTCCGAGACGTAGTTGGCGTCGAAAAACACGTTCATCGTGAACAACCACGCCTGAACGGTAGGACCACCCCGTTGGCTGGGATCGAAGCATGGCGGACGCTGCGGCTTCAGCGGCATCGGTGACGGCAGTGCCGAACCGTCGGTTGGTGCCGAAATTGTGACGCGTGGCTGGCTTCGGGCCGCATTCGTCGCTTCGGGGTGTGTCGTGCCGTGGTCGTCGTCTCCGTCGGGGCGGACGACGCCATCACTGGCCGCGCTCGCGGGTTGCCCCACGCTTCCGTGTTGTGATGCCTGTGGTGCGGGCTGTTCCGGAGTGCCAGGTGCTTGAGATTGTGCCTGTTGTGCTCGTGTGAGGTCATTTTGCAGGGACGAGCGTTCTGCTGTCAGCGTCGCGATTTCCTCGGCGCTCTCGCGGGTTTGCCGCAGCAGATCGTTCAAGTGCTCCTGCGTGAGCGTCGTGATATCAATGTGCTCGGCCATTTCGAAGGGTGTCGGCTCGTCTTAGTCTAGGCGCAGTCGTGGCTGCACGCGTTTACGAGAGAACGCGAGGACAGCGGCTCCTAGGTGCTAAGGTGCGTGAGTCCCTTCGAGTGAAAAATCAAAAGTTGATTTCCTGGGGTGCGGAGATGCGCGGTCCGAAAGAAAGGGGCTCTGATACCAAGTGTTACGGGTGCAATGAATCGAAGTAGCGAGAGTTGCACTAAGGTGTCAAAACGAGTACAAAGATGTGAGCGAAGGCATGCGCGAACATTTATGCGCGAAACATGCAAACGGTAACGCGGTGCGTGCGAGCTAGCTAGTGCTACGCTGGCAGCGAGGCTCGGGCTAGTCCCGAAGCGTAGGCCGACACGGCCGGGCCAGCAGTGCGAGGTTTGGCAAAACAGTGCGCGCGAAGTTGGCGAAGTCCCGTTAGCAGTAACGGGCGAACAACGGCTGTTGCTGTACGCGATGTAGTCGGGCTCCGTAAGGAATGCCGAGAAAATTCCTTACAGCACTCTTCCAATTACAACTCATAACGAATAAGGTACATAATAACACCTCCACACACCCAACCCAACCCAACACAACCCAACGTGTACGTTGTGTGGTTTACGTGTCCAACAGACCCACCAAACTTTCACCAACCGCAACAGACTGGGAGGATTCCACCCAGCTTCGTGATGGGGGTGAGTGAAGTGGTGTGGTGTGGGGTGCGCGGTAACTGTACCACACTCGTGTGTCAGGCGACTCCTGATCATCGATATTCTCCTCCTCGAACTCTGTGAGCAGGTCTTGCAGCCTGCAAAGACTTGTTCTCATACACTGGCTGCTCAACTCCAGAAATTTCTGATGCATTGATCGCCTCGCCTGTTTCAACCAGCGGTTGTCTGTCGTTGCTCTCTGTTAGTGATCATCAAGCGTCGAAACCAAACGTTGTCAGGGCCGTCGTCTGTCGCTGTGCCGTTCCGTCGGAAGTGTGGTCTGGAACACTAGGACAAGCCACCTAATGCTGAAAGAGCGACCACGAAACGGCACGTTACTCGCAGACGACTTGTGATTCATCGAGCGTTTCAACGCAATCTTCAAGTCGAGGCACTCGTAACAGAAGTTTAGGCTTAGTTTGAAGCTTCGAAGGACCAACAGATTCGTCGAATCTTCGCGGCTTCGTAGTATTATTCGTGTCCGCGACTCCTCGGCTACAGGCAAAGATGAGCGAAGTTTTCGGCGAGTACGAGAGGCGGTACTGCGAGATTTCGGGGAACGCGAAGCGTCAAGCAGCGGCTATCCCTTCCTTACCGGCAGGTATGACTCGTGCCTCCGTGACACTCTCTCTTCCCAAGCACGGTCTATAGTCGTCCGTGGAGAGATATTAAACCGATCGAAGGCGAATCAGGAAGCCAAGGATTTGGTGTGCGACAGCCGCCAAGGAAGCCAAAGGAAGATGAGACACGCCTCGTATGCGCTCGAATTGGATTATGTGCGAGTGTGGGAGTTATCTTTTCCACTCTCTTCAGTCATTTCCCATCAAAGAGGCTATCTCAAAGCCATCCGTTTGTAGTTCTCCGCTTAGCAGTGCCCACTTTTTACTGCTCCGCGGCTTCACCACGCGCATTGTTGGAACATTCTCAGCGAGCACAAGCTAGGGACACGAGTTTGGTGGATTTTCGGCCAGTGTGATCCGCACCAGTGACTGTGCTGCTGCGCTGCGAACCGAAATGCTTACTATTCGTCTCTCAATTGCTCTCTAATTTCCGTGGGTCTTGTTTGAGGGTGCTTCATGCTCCGTACTGAGCTTGCCTGCCTCGTGCATGTCGTGCGCATGTCGCCTGTTCGTCTGTGGTGCATGTATGTGCTCCTATGTGCATCTCTGTGCATGCCTATGTACGAATTTGCATGTATGTGGGTGTATGTGCATGCATGTGCATGTGCATGTGCATGTGTGTGTGTGTGTGCATGGATGTGCGCTGCAGATGCCAGAGAGCAACGAGCCAAGGACGTCAATGCCTTGTTGGAAGAGGCCGACTCCCTCGTAAGCCCCGTTTCTTTCCTCGCCTCCTCCTCTTCGCCTGTTTTCATTAGCCACTCTTGTCTTGACCTCGCTTGTATCTAAAGAAAACACCTGTACGCGGCGCTGCCCGCGGCTTGCCAATGGCGCAGAAGAGAAGGCGGCGCTGCTGGTGAAGAAGCTGCGTGAATCTAAGGCGCCATCCCACTCCCTCCCATTTCATCCGTACATCAATCGTTACTCATCTTCCCACCCCTTCTCCCCCCCCCCCCCCCCCTCCTCCCTTTCCTCCCCTCTCCTCAGATCCGGCGCATGGACTTGGAGGCGCGCAGCCTGGCAGCGGCGCAGAAGGCGGCGCTGCTGGTGAAGCTGCGCGAGTACAAGGCGGACCTGCAGACACTGCGCCGCGACCTGCAGAGAGCACTGCAGGACGCCGCTGCCTCCGCCAGTGAGGCCGCCAGGGACCAGCTGCTGGGGAACGCAGGGGGACAGCCGGGGGAGGGCATGTCGCAGGAGGAGCTGGCGGTAGGTGGAGTGCGGTTTGAGTGGGTGTTGCTGGGTGGGTGGGGGACTGGTTGCTGGTTTGGTTTGAGCTGATGTGGGTGGGGGAGTGAAGGTTGCGCAGAATGGTGGATGTGTGGTGAGACATGGACTGGTTGTATGGCAGATGGATGGAACGGGAGGACTTGTAATTTGATTTTTCAGCGGGTGTCAGCTTGTTGCTATTTTCGATGCTCTCTTGGCCTCTATCTATCCACCTCCCCACCCACCTTTCCCTCTCCATGCTTCCCATCCTCCCATGGTACATACCCTCACCTGGGCACCCCATAGCTCCGTCTCACCTCCTGGTGCCAACCCCATCAACCTCCTGTCCTCTGCACTGTGTCTCCCACACATCCCCTTACTCACATCAACCGTCACTTCACACTCTGTGCGGTGCAGGCAACGGGGGCACAGCGCATGCGGCTGCTGGGGGCAACGGAGCAGCTGGGGGAGTCGTCGCAGCGGCTGGAGGCGAGCAAGAGAGCGCTGCTGGAGACGGAGGAGCTGGGAGTGAGCATTCTGGAGGACCTGCACAACCAGCGCCAGACACTGCTCAACGCACGCGATAACGTGAGCTGGGGCACCTCTGTTGTGTGTGACTGAGGGGGTTCTGGTCGCGTAGTAAGGTGCTGGACCAATGTTTAGCTGAAAGATTGGGTGTTTCGGTTCTACTATGTGTGTTTCTATCTGGTTTGCCAACCTCTAGGTTTGTGTGGCACTGTTGGTGTGGTTCAAACTTGTTGCTCACCCCAACTTGTCCTGTGTTTTGCAACATTCCCGCTTGCAGCTGTACGGTGTGGATGCAAGCATTGACCGTGGCCGTCAGATCCTCAACTCCATGGCACGCCGCATGAACCGCAACAAGTGGATTTCCATCTTTATCCTCATCGTACTCATCCTCGCTATTATCATCGTGATCTTCGTCAAGATGCACCGACACTGATCAGAACATGACAAACTGGTGATTATTATGGAATGGCAACATCGGGTTCGGGACGAGGTCTGCAAGTCGATCATCATATGTGCATATGTGCTTGCTTATCTGGTTGGCCTTTTGTGGTCTGTACAAACGTTTCCTCTAGCGTTATTTGTTTTGCACTGAAGTGGAGCGTTCTAACCTGATTGAAGGCTCAGCGCTCAAAGTAGCCACTGAAATGCATATTACTGTAGTATAACTGCAATTCGTTAAAGAGGATGTTCTTTATCGGAACAAGGGTATCCGTTGGCCTCGTTGCTGTGCGTGTGGGGGGCAAACAGACCAGCTGGTTGTCAGGCCGCTTGGTCTGGTCTGGGGGCTTGCTTCTCCACTGACAGGTGAGCAGCTGGCCTCAATTGTTCGCTGAACCAATGGGGGAACACGCGAGTCGGCTTTGCAGCAGCTGGCATTTCAGGAAGCTGGCTCGGGTCGCAGTCGTATTGTCAAAAACTGCGACTCGGACTGACATTTCACCTGCTTGCATTTCGATTCGACTCTGAGCAAGGGCGCACAGGATGAACAAGCGAATCAGCAGGAAAGCTCGACCAGTTTCTCTTGCGCCACGCTTGCTCACTCTCGTCCTGACTCGGGCTGGAACAAAACCATCCTGGGGGAAACATTATCGCGTGAGACCTCCCTCTAGCAAAGCTGGGAGTTCATGTTCATATAGTCGCTGTTCCTTGACCGTACATCCTGGCACATTCGTTCTGTGCGACCAGCAGTAGCGCTTCACAGGGCTCCGGCACACCCCAGTGTTCGCGGTACTGAACTTCCCTTCTGCTGAAACTGTTACCCGTGGTACGGGGATTACGGGCGTCGATGCTGTGGCACCCTCAATCCTAACTGTCTCGTAATAGCGGATTCCAGGACCTTCACAAGGGCTTCTGCCTTCCCCTGGCCTCCAGTACTGAGATCTCCAAAAGGCTCTTGAGTTATATCTCTTCAGTGAGCTCTTCAAAAGGCCCAATTTAAGTCGAACTGTCCCTAAGCGTTTATGTGGCAGGGCAACCTAGGCGGCGAGAACGTTGCAGTAATATATTGGCTAGCTACCGCAGCAATGCATCATTCATCGTGCAGGCCACGTGACTCAATTGTCCGCGACTAGTTGGTCCAATACACGGATTAGCTCGTGCAGAATACGGAGCGCGATTCGAGCCATGGATTGAATGTGACGCTCAATTACGGTCATCTTCAAACTAATTATCATCCCTAGTGGGACCTCACTCACAACACCATGACCCTGCCGTCGCCTTTACGGCGCATCGAACGCTCGTCGTCGGCGCGCTTCGTGAAGCACGCGCCAAATGGAACTGCCGCTGCTCCTCTGAGGATCGCCAACTCAGCGATTTCTCGACAAGCTCTATCAATTCCACCCATAACGGATCAATCTATACCGAATCGAACACCACTGAAGCAAAAGCTATCGAAATTCATTCGCCCGCAGCTAGTACACTTAGCGGTCATCTGCCTCCTCCTCCTCCTGACCCTGCCTTCCGCCACCCGATGCACGGCACTGCGCGCCAATTCAAACCCCTTCTTCTCCCGCCGCTCGTCTCTTGTGTGGGCCGCGCGTGCGCGGGGAGTAGAAGGAGGAGTAGGCGGAGACGAGGCGGATGATCTGGCGGAAGCAGATGGCGCGGGGCGTAAGGGGATTGCGAAGCGGAGAGGAAGCGACGGAGGACGAGGAAGAGACGGAGACGGAGCCGGAGACGGAGACGGAAACGGCAACGGTAACGGTAACGGAAACGGAACTACAAGGTCAACGGAAGCAGGGGCCACACATGTTGATTATCACGGACGCGGTCGGTCTCTATCCGGCTTGCAACACCAACGCCATCGTCGCCACGACGCTAGTACCAACGCGGACTTCCTGCTACAGGCGGGCACGCTCAGTACCCTGCACGCGATAAGGACTCTGCCAGGGGCATCATCGTCGACAGCGTCGTTACCATCCGCCGCTCCAACGGTAACACGCGCCGATGATGCCGCTCCTGCGTTGCGCGACGCCGTTACGATGGGGCAAGACTCGGCCTCCTCCTCCGCCTTCCCCTTTGCTTCTATGACTGGGGATTCTCTCTACCCAATCACCCCACCCGCGCCTATACCGCTCACGGATATCCTCCTCAACGTCACGCCCGCCTCCCCCTCCGCTCCCCCTCCCGCTCCGCCCGCCCCGCAATCGGAATCTGTTCCGCCCGCTGCGGCAGATTCCGCGCCCGCCTCCCCCTCGCCCCCTTTCACGTTTCCCGGCTGGCCGTTCATCACGCCGCCTCCGCCTCCCGCCTCCGACAACGCCCTGTCCCCGCCCTCGCGCAGCCTCCCCTCTCCTCCGCTAACCACTCCCCCGCCTGCCAGTCCTCCGCAAACCCCGCCACTTCCTCCGCCGGCTTCCCCCTCTGTTTCTCCCCCGGTTTTTTTCCCCAGTCCCGCGGGGAAGCCTACCCCGCCTGCAGTTGCTCCTGCTGCGCCGTCTCTTCCGCCTGCTGTCACTCCCCCTTCGCTTGCACCCCCTTCGCTTGCACCCCCTTCGCTTGCGCCCCCGTCGCTTGCGCCCCCTTCGCTTGCGCCCCCTTCGCTTGCGCCCCCTTCTCTCGCGCCCCCTTCTCTCGCGCAATCCCCTGCTCTTGCTTCTTCTCCCCCTCCCAGATCCACCCCCCCGGACCCCTTACCTTCTCCGCCATTCTCCGCCTCCCCCGATTCTCCCCCTTCCGCTCCCCCCCAAGCTTTCCCCCCATCCCACTCTTTCCCACCCGCTTCATCGTCATCCTTCCACATAGGCGACCTTTCCACGTCAGCATCTGCCGTCGTCGTGTCAGCATGTGTTGTCGCCGCCGCGGCCGCGCTAATCTGCACCATTTTCATCCTATGCGGGCGCTACTCCCTCAACCCCCCGCGCGCTGGTGGGCATTTCCCCGCATGGGGGCGGCGCAAACCTCCGCCAGGCGCAGCAGATGGCGCCGCAGGCGGAAACACCGCCAGCGCTGGCGGAGGCGACGGTGGCGAAGGTGGTAACACGGTGACGTCTTCTCGCCCACACCGCGCGCGGGGATTGTGGTCGCTGTGCATCGTGTGCAGGACTCCCCAGACCACCCCCACTAACGACTCCCTTCCGCCGAGCCCCCGCGCGTGCGCGGAAGGATGTGCGCGGAGTGCAGGCGGGGCGCGGGTGGCAAACTGCGCTGGTTCCGCGTATGCTTCCCCCCACCGCGTGGATATCCCGGTTTCCCCCACCCACGTGTACCCCGCGCGATCACTGTGGTCTGAGTTTAACGATGCAGCAAACGGGGAGAGTGGCAGTATTGGAAAGACTAATAACGGGGATAACAGCGGCAAGGGAAAAATATGTGCAGGGGGAAGTAGTAGCTGGGGTGCCGCTAAATGGGATTTCGCGTCGCTCCCATTCGTTGCTGCGAGCAGCACGAAGACGAGGGTTGCTATAGCGCGTACGAGTGATGTAAGAAACGTCGAGATGGAGAGCGGCGAGGAGGTGCTGGGGAATGCGATGGGGAGAGGGGAGGAGAAAGCGGAGGGCGCGCGGAAGGGGGCGGGGGAGGGTGCGCGGTGGCCCCGTGACTTGGCGATCCTCAGCTGGCTGCTCGGGGGGAAAGCCGCCGCCGCCGCTGCGAAGGGCGCGGAGGGGAAAAAGGCGGCGTGTGCGGGTGACAAAGCGGGCAAGGCGGAAGAGGCGGACGCGGAAGCTGCGGTGTGCTGCATTGCACGTAACGGCGATGGGTTGAGCGATGATGGCGAGTGTGAGAGGGGTGGGGGAGATGGCGGAGACGGTGAGTACGGGAGGGGAATTGAGGAGGGGAGGCAGAGCGGAGATGTGGCGGTGAGAATGGACGGACAGGAGAGCTTGTGCTGCAACGGTGGTAACCATAGTGGTAACCACGGTGGTGGTAGCGACGGCTGTGGTAAGCGAGGATGCGGTGCTGGTGGTCGTGTTGGCGGTGCTGGGGGCGGGATCACGAGTGTGCGGTCGAGCAATGGGCGCAGCTACTCGCGGCGCACGCTGTCCGCACTGCCACTCATCTCCATGCCCGTCTGCCACCTGCCGTCCCCCCCCACCACTCCCCGCTCCGCCGCCGCTGCCACCGCCGCCGCTGCTGCTGCTGCTGCTGATGCTGCTGCTGGTGGTGGTGGCGGTTGTGGTGCTGGTGCTGCTCCTTCGGCTGCTAGTCGCGCTGCTGCCGCTGCTTGTCCTGTCCCTGGTGGTGCTTCGGATGCTGCTGCTGCTGGTCCTCTATCGTGGATGCTGCCGTTGATGCTGCTGTGGGGGAAAGGGGAGGAAGGAGGGGAGGAGGGCGGCGTGAGAAGGCATGGGGAAGCGGAGGTGAAGGCGCTGGGGGAGAGGATTGAAGGAGAGAGGGAGTACGTTGCTGTTGCTATTGAATCAGAAGAGGAGGAGGATGATGAATCAGAGGACGAGGAATCAGAGGAAGAATCTTCAGATGAGGAGACAGAGGAAGAGGAGGAAGAAGAAGAGGAGGGGGAGGAGGCGAAAGAGGAGGAGGTGCAAGGAGACGAGGGGGTGGGTGGGAGAAGAGCAAGCAGCAGCGTGCTTCAGGGCAGCAGTGTAATCAGTGGTCCAAGCGCTTCTAGCAACGCGTTTGCTGGCACGTTCACA